CTTGTGCAAAGCTTGAAGTCTGGCGATTCTAAAAATATATACTTTCCCGGGTCTATTTGTAGTCATTTAGTCACAATTAGAAGATGAAAACAAGTATGCAAATATTAGTCCCGCTACCTTAAAATCCCACGATTTGACCTTTCCATGCAGATGAGCTCTGCCTATATGAAAAGTTTTAATGTGTCTTCCACCTATAACAGTTCCTCGGGCCTTACGACTTTTGCTTAAAATGCTGTATGATACCATAATAATCATTGTGACTCCAATATTTCAGTTTTCCCTCAGATGAGATAAATTGTCTCATAAAAGTGGTTCATAGTTTTTTTAGGAAATTTGATATGCTAAAAATTAAATAAATACCAGACTAGTTTTTGACCATAGATAGTTCTCCTTTTTATCTCAACATATTGCATCCGCTGTTCCACTAGAGAGAATGGAATACCATATGACTGGAAAAAGTCGTGTGATTTTCTTGCTCTCAGAAACATTTCAGCAGCCATTTGTGTCTATCACTACTTATTTTTTCCTGAATCCCGATTATATCTTAATTAATATAGAAGTATAAAACTTACCTCTCTGGGATCAAAATACGACCTTGCCAGCAGATTTTCAAGGTGTACATATCTGTCTGGTTGTTGTTGTTTTAACATTATCATAGGATCTGTTTGTCTGAGCAATGAACGCGCTGCTCCCAGTTCTCTCAGTTCAATAAGTTCTAATACAATCTGTTGAGAAAAGCATATTATACAAGCGAGCTACACAAACAGACAGTTGTCTGTCACAAATTACATAGTGTTTGGATCATGTTTCTCCATGTTTTTTTTTAGCATAACAGTGAGTGAGAACCAAATTAGATTCCATTTGCCATTCACATGGGTAGAAGAACTCTGGGCCATTAATACGTAGAGGGCAATGAAATCTACTTAATAATGATAGTTTTTCTTACTTCTTACTAATTCAAAACATTTCTGAGAAGACGGTACCACTATAGAACATTCCAGTCATTCCATGTTAGTATCTTATAAGCTGACATTAGGTACATTTAATTTCAATTAATCGTAATTGTACATTGTTGCATGGATTTAGCGTTTGGAGTCCCCACTCATAATATATGTTATAATTTATATTCATAGTAGTATGGAATGTATATCCACCAAGATTACTGACCTGTTCATAGAGATCTATAAGTGTTTTATCTGGAAGTTTTAGTGACTGAATAGCCTGGAGTACAGTGTCCCAATGACCATTATTTATGTCGGATACAAATCCATCTACACTATCCACAGTATTCAAAGATATACTGGTTTCTTCTTGTAATACCGCTAATGTGCGATGTAAATTGTTTTCCTTCAGGTATTGTTGAATAAGACGGACAACACTGAAAAGAATGAGAAGAAAATCGCTGGCATTTGTTTTGTACATAATTGGGCAGAGCTCCAGAAGGAGTACCTACACTTTACGCAAATTTTTTTAAAATTATGCTAATTTATTCATGACGTAGCAGTTTCTGTGCTCATGAATATTCATTAATTTGTGGGTCATAACATTTTAAAAGGGGCGATATATTATTTTTGGGGGAAGAGTTAGAAAGGGGGATTAGC